CAAGTTGTAAATCAGGATCAGGATAAAGAAGAACTTTAGCGTTTTTTTTGGGGGGTGGCTGGGCGCTGCTCAGGTTTGTAGGATGTAGGGGTTTGAGTGAAGGGGTACAGGGAAGGGGCCAAAAATGCCGCGACCAATTAAATCGGCTTCGCAAGTTGTCAATCAGGATAAAAAAGAACTTTAGCGTTTTTTTGGGGGGTGGCTGGGCGGGCATGGGGGGGGGGTCATGGGGATGGGGGGGGGGGGGGGGGGGGGGGGGGGGGGGGGGGGAGGGTGTTAACTGGGTAGCGGGCCAGGAAGGCTGCTCGGGGTTTGAGTGAAAGGGTAAGAAGCCCTGCACTTGCGCTCCCCCCAGCTTGCCGGGCTCGGCGGATATAATGTCATAACACTTCAGTCCAGGGTCTTTCACAAGGCACAGGTCTCACACGCAGACCACGAATGACCGCGAACGGTTATGCACGCCGGAAGGGCGGCCCCCCCTCGGAGGGGTTACGTGCAGAGGAAGGAAGGAAGAGCAAACGAAAAGGAGGTCCGTGAGGGCATTCCTCTCCTAAGACTAACTACGAAGAAGGCTCTCTCAGAAGAAGAAAGCCCTTCATGCGCTGCAAGGGGTCAACGCACACATATATACACATATACTCCGCGCCAGCTTGTGTGGGGGTCATGAAAGGAGCGACGAGAGGTTGTACAAACGGGGTTTCCGAAAATAGGGGTCCCCTTTTGGGGGTCCCTTTAAACAAGGATTCTGTTCTATTTGGGGTATAAAACGGGTACTCCCAGCTCAAATGTGGCCAGAAGGCTGAGCAGGAGTAACTGCAAAACATGCAGGGTACACAGGTGCGGGGAGCGGCAACTAGCAAAAACAGGGTTGTAGACAGTTGTGGAAGGTTAATCGTGTGCCGGGCGTTCAAGACTGTGCCCGAAATGTTATCACAATGTTATCATTGTCATCCTTTTTCCTTATGCTGCTCCAGGCGACGAGGAGTTGACCGAGAGATTTACAGGCTCCAGCAGGACCGAATTCCCGAATTCTGCAAGTGAACGAATGTACATCAAGTCATCTGCGCACGGGTCCTTTCCGCAGACGCACAACTACCTCTCCATTCCGAAAGCCGCCTTTGCCCGGCTGGTCAAAGAAATTCAGTACAAGACTGAGCTGTGAGACTTAGACTGGCTTGGTTCGGAACGGACATGGGCCACCTGTGTGGCGAGTTCATTCTGTGAATATGCTAAGCAGTTGCTGAGCCTGTTAAGCTCAAGAGCCTCATGTTCAACAGCTTCCTTGGAGGTCCAGCTTCGCCGAGGATGGGCTGAGCATCAAACAAGTCGACTCTGAGTGGGCACTGGCAGCCTGTCAAAGGGCGCGCACATTCTGTAAGCAGCAGCTTCATACGTGTAGAAAAAGCCTTCTTTTCCTGTGGACTGTTTGCTCCTCTCGACTAGTATGGAGCAGGAGCCCTTGCGCTTCAGCACCGAAGCTTTGGAACTCCTCCAGGCAGCCACGGAGGAGATGCAGTGAATTGCAGTGATCAATTTGCATGAGAAGTGTAAGCTCGAAGCAGAGCAAAGGCACTGTCAGATTGATCCAGAGGAGTACCTGATGTACCTCTTTGCCGATGGGTACCTGGCACCTGTCCTAGCCAGCGCTGTGTTTCTGGCCAAAGGTAAACTCTGAGAGTAGATCAGGGACTCACACCTCAAAAAGGGAGTACAGGCCGTAGGAGCCTGTGGGCCCCCGCAGGAAGCCGTACGGCCCGTTAGAGCCCGTATGAGCCCGTAAGAGCCCGTATGAGCCCGTATGAGCCCGTAGGGCCCGTAAGGCCCGTAAGGACCGTAGAGCCCGTAGAGCCCGTAGAGCCCGTACGGTCCCATAAGGCCCGAAAGCCCGTACGGTCCTTAAGGCCCCCAAGGCCCGTAGAGCCTGTAAGGCCCGTAAAGCCCCCAAGCACGTACGGCCCGCGCAGGCCCGTACGAACCCGTACGGGCCTGCGCGGCCCCTGGCCTGGCGAGAGACCTTTCTCCAAAAAGGGCACCTCGCGCTGAGGCATCTGTTGAAGCGCACAGCTGGGATGTGGGCACGCATACTGCGCAAGGCGACGGCCCATCGGCGGCGCAAGACGCTGAGCTCCGAGGACGTGCGTCTTGTCCGGCGCTTGCGGCAGCGAGGGGCCCGGAGGCTGTTGAAAGAGGCTTTTGAAAACGAAGAGACTCGTTTTTCCGACGTTCAGCGCTTCTTGTGGAACGCGTCGACTTGAGGCCCCACTGCTGGGCAGAGACGCGGTGAGAGCACTCCTTCGATGTGCTTTGCTTGCTGTGCCTTGCTGTGCCAAACCCTGAACCCTGAAACCTAAACTCTCAATACAAAAGAAATGGAACTTGTATGTGGTATCCTTCTGAATTTTCCAAGTTATTTGTCTGGTCTACGAACAAAAGCACATTGCTCAAGAAACCATTTGATCAAGGGACGTTTGGGGACTCGTTCGTTGTTGGGACACATCGCCTGGTGTAGTGCCCAGTACCACAAGCACGAGAGTAGTGTAAGGGCAAGTGTGAGCGTGAGTGTGTGCGGGGCTGGGTTTGAGTAGGGTGGGAGGTGGCGCTGGCAAGCCTGGCAAGCTTGGCAAGCATGGCCTGAATGATATTCTTTGATGCTGACACCCTGTGTTGTATTGCCGAACGAGTAGCGTTCAGGTCTTGCAGTATTGCTTGAAATGCCCTAATTGGCTAATTGGCATATGCTGGCGGCTTCAACCATGTTGCTGTCACTGTAGGCAATCAGTTTCACAATTGATATACTGACGTGTTCGGGCTCCGTGGCTTTCCAAGAGTCCGAGTCAGCCCAACAAACTCGGAGTCCCGCTTGTGTGCCCGATCACATCTCTTGTTGGCCCGCGTTCTCCTCAGAGCGTATGACCAACATGAGATCGAATTGTTAAGTCTGCAACACGGTACGCCAAGGCATCCTAAGCTGGCTTGCCGACATTGGCTTCAACAGGAGTTCACAGTTTTACAAGCGTAACAGCATAAATTTCGAAAATTCGTTTTTACCGTTTCACCGTCCGCGCTTCCTGCATCCTCAGTTTTCGGCCGCCCGTGAAAGCATGAAAGCGTAAAAGCGTGAACACGTAAATTTCGAAAATTTCGGTTTTACCGTTTTGCGCTTTTCGTTGGGCGGGGTTACAGCATTAAAGCGTGCCATTCGATATTCCTCCATCATGCACCAGCTGCCGGTGGGGTTTTGCCTGTCTTGGAGATCTATAGGGTATACTTTGTATTATGGTTTGCGGGTCGGGTTTAGGGTTTAAGGTTTAGGGTTTATAGGGTTTTGGGTTTGGGGTTCTGAACCATGTCAGACGTTTCTTCTCACAAGGGGCTGTTGACAGCTGTCAGGGTAAGAGTGCATAGCGCGAATTGGGAAACTTCATTTTGACTGCTTTACCGTGTGGGCTTCCTGCATCCTCTGTTTTCAGACGCGTGCGTCCTGTGTAAAGCATAGAAGCGTAAAAGCGTAAAGGAGCAAATGTTAAAATTTCGTTTTTGCCCCTTTACCGTGTGCGCTTCCTGCATCCTCGGTCATCGGCCGCGCGCGTCGAGCGTAACTGCATCCTCGGTCATCGGCCGCGCGCGTCGAGCGTAAAAGCGCAAAAGCGTAAATTTCGAAGTTTCGTTTTTACCGTTTTTCCGTGTTGGCTTCCTGCATCCTCGGATGCGTAAAAGCGTAAAAGCGTGAATTTCGAAGTTACGTTTTTACCGTTTTACCGTGTGCGCCTCCTCCTTCCTCAGATTTTGCCGCGCATGCCCAGCGTAAAAGCGTCCAAGTGTAAAATCGAAATTTTGCTTTGCCGTTTTACGCTTTTCGTTGCGCGGGGTTGCCCGGAACCCCTTACCCCTTGCAACAACACCAAGCCAGCACAGCAAGGTATCTGTATCCTAAGTTCGAGTAGGACAATGCGAGATGACGGGGGAGAGTCGCCCGCACTGTGCATCAAAAGCTTCGCACCGTTTGCATCCGTGCAAGAGGCAGAACGGTCGCTCCCACCATACAAGTTCGCACAACGTGGACTGCATTCTACTTGGCATTCAATTCACCACCGGTTTGTCGTGCTGCTCTCCCAGACAATGCTGAGCAAAAGCAGGAATCATTGATTGCACATATGTGCAAAGCATAAGGTACTGAGGCTTGTGCAGCAATCAAGCCTTTGTCATCCTTTGTCACAGATGCCTGACATATGATGAGTTCATCAGTTGAAGTTCAAGCAGGTACAAAATATCGGCACTTCATGTCGCTGTAGCATGTCAGCGTATGCCGGCTATGAGAACTCGCCGGTTTGGGAAGGTGAGGTTGAGATTCCTGATGATGGTTTCTACTTGAACATGTTTTTGAAAGCAGACAGAATGGGATGCCCCAGGCCTGGAATCGGAGCCTCGTTGTCGCCATCGCTGTCACCTCAGACGGTGCCATGTGGCATCGCTATGTGAAGATCCATCAACTTCACCTTAGCGCCGCCTCTCTCAGCACTGTGTCCAGGTGTGCAGCGCCTTTGCCTGGGGCCACATCGCAGGGTTTCTCGCTCCCCGAGCTGCGCGGGCCTTTGAACAGAGGTGCAGCGGTAGCGGTGCATTCAAGTCTCTGCATCGATCTGCATCCTTGCACGAAGTGCCCTCCCCTAAGAGTCGCCCCAAGGGTCGGAACGGGCTTCCGAAGCCCAAGACCGTCCGAACCAGAGCTCTCGTTCTGCCTTTCATGCCTTTGATGGCGCACCGAAGGCTTCTTCACCACACGCAACGCCTTTGAACGTAGCCGCCCAGGCAAGCAGCCAGGAAGGCGTGTCACCGATCACGCCGGCCCTGGTGCTTCCTGCAAGTTGTGTGGTGTTGCGAGTGCACACGCTGTGTAGGTGTCAAGGGCGAATGCTTCTTCTGAAATATGCGTCATGTCCGCCGACACATGGCTTCAATGTCCAGCACTGCTTGAGCTTATATAGAGGGTGCTGCTGGAGATGCTGGCCCCAAGCCTCCCAAGCCTTCCAAGCCTCCCAAGCCCGGGCCCAACCCAAAGGTTGAAACACGTGGCAAAGCTTGGGCAGCAAGCCGACCACACCGCCACCAAAGCCTTGCCGAACACTCCCGAGTTGGAAAGGCAGCACGTGAGGCAGTTTCTGACGATTGGGCTGGGCAGTGCCTTCCTTGCCCGGAGTGATGCCAGAGCCCCACGGCTCTCAAGAGCGTCTCGAGCCCAAAGAAGAGGCAAAGCAAAGAGGGTGAGGGTAGCACTGCAGGCGGAAGGCTCGGAAGGCGACCCCTTGCTGGCGGAGGCCAAGGCTGCGGCCGAGGCTGCGAAGCTCCAGCTCGAGGCCGCCAAACTGCGCCAGGAGGCCGAAGAGATGCGCCAGCAAACGGCCCTGGCACAGCGAAGGGCGCGAGCAGTGCGGCTCCTGGGCAGCGAAGACGTGCCGGGCATTGGGCACCCTGGCAGCACGCACAGCTGTCTTGTCATCAAGGAATTGCTTTTCAATGTTTTCAGCGTTGTGCCTCGGCCCGACTCATAGGATGTCGTAGGGGTATGTAGGGGTCAGGGATTCGGGGGGGTACCTGAATTCCGAAGGCGCTTCGATCCGAAAGTTCAGGCCGCGAGACAGCCCAAGGACCACACCAGACCACAGAAGTTTGCTTTAGAAAGGCATGTGATGTTCATGTGATGTCCATTCCGAGAGGTCCTGGTGGGCGAGTCGCATGAGTCGCGAGGCGTCCCCTGAAATGACTGGCAATGGGGGTGGGGGGGGGGTTAAACGGGCGTTATGGGGGGGTCCAAATCATCGGAAATGCCAGGGCTTCAAGGGGGAACGTCTGCCAATTGTGCCCTTTCTGAAGTCATTCCGAGGAACCCCGACCTTGGGGAAGATTTTCGGGAAAGTTCCAAAGCGCCATTTCGACTCTTCGACCCTTCGACTCAATCGAAGGTCGAAGCGTTGGGAAAGTTCATGGTAGAAGGAGGCTGTTCCCATGGGGCTGATTCCCTATACATCCACAGTCAAACCACGTATAGTCTCGTTTATGGCACAGCAATGCACAGCATGCTGAGGTTGCCTGAGCTGATGGCCCGGCTTCAAGAGGAGCAGGTGAGCTTGACGGGTGAGCAGGCATTGGAGGTGGCCGCAGCTTTGGGAAAAACCGAGGAGCCGTATTTCTTCCGCTTCGAGGACCTGAACTCCGAAGCCTTCGACAAGAAGCTGACGGACATCGAGGCGCAGAACGCCCTGAAAGCCAAGGCCGAGGCCGAAGCCAGGCGCAGGGCGGAGGCGGCGGCGGAGGCGGCGCAGAGGGCTCAGAGGACTCAGGGCGCCGCGGGGAGCCCGCAAGCGCAGACCACGGGTCAGGAAGCGATCGACGACGATCTCAGCGGCTAGGTGGCAAACATGGGCTCCCAACTGTGGGTTTCGTCCCGCCGACTCGTAGGTTGAAATATCATGAAATATCGCATCTTTAGACTAGATTGGTTCCAACATGTTCCAACTACTTTCTCTTCTTTCCTAGAAGTTTCTTTCTTTCTCTTCTCTCAGTGTTCATTCAGCATTCATTCTTGAAATCGAGGCCTGGGCCCGAGACTGCTGGGGTCCCTGGCATACGTGTTGCCAGTGACGGAGGCCTTCAAGCTGATGTTCCCTCTGATCCAGATCTTCCCTCCTTTGGGGATCATTTTTGCGCCAATCGCGCTGCTGACAGTTTTGCTGAACTATCTTCCTTTCGTGCCATTGCTTGTGTTCGTTCTCTTCATCGTGCTGGCGCAATCGAAAGCGACCTGATGAAACGATTGCACAAATCTTCGGAATCGATGCAGTCGAGGTGACCTTGGATTGAATTGCGATTGTTGAGAGCTGAGGACAATGTGCCAAGGTTGCTACGCTTCAATCTCGAACAGGCCTGGTCCAGCATACTAGTAGAGCTTTGGCAGTTCAGGCAGCTTATTTCAGGCCTAGTGGCCCGGGCCGGCCCCAAAAAATCGAAACCCTAATCCTGGGCATCTATCATCCTCATACCTGCATACAGGTATACAGGTTGTGCGGGCGAGGGGGGGGGGGGTGGGGGGACCGGAGACTGAGATTGCTAGAGAGGTGCCGCGGGGGGGGAGGGGTTTCGGTTGCTTTTGTCGCTAAACGTCACTGAAACCTAGACCCTCTAAACCCTAGACCGTCGCACGAGCGCAGGTGCAACAGCATCGCTCCCTCTCTCTCCCTTGCGCTCGCTTCTCTCTCCATCTCTCTCCCTCTTCTCTCTCTCTCTCTCTCTCTCTGTCCTCACTCTTGTGCTCGTTTCTTTCCCTCTCTTCTTTCCTACCTCTCGTGCTTTCTCTGTCTCTTCTCTCTTCTCTGCCCTCTCTCTCTTCTCTCCCTTCTCTCTCTTGACTCATTTTTGTTGTCTCTGTCTCTCTCTCCTCTCTCTCCTCTCTCTGTCTCTCTCTCCTCTCTCTGTATCTCTCTCTCTCTCGCTCTCGCACTCTCTCTCTCTCGCTCTCTTTCTCCTCTTCCTCTTCCTCTGGGTCTTTCTTTCCTCGCTGTCTTTTTCGTTCTTGTCTTCTCTGCGGGTGCGGGTGCTTGTGCGTGTGCGTGTGTGCGCCTGCGCGCCTGCGCGCGTGCGTGCGCGCGGTCGGTCGGTCGGTCGGTCCGTCGGTCGGTCGGTCGAACGATCGCCTGCCGTTAGAGACCAATAGGCTGAAATAGGGGAATAGATTTAAAGGCTCACTGCCCTCACCACCATCACCGCCCTTGATATAAACCTCCCAGGCTAGGTCTTCAACGAAGAAGGGGTCGGGGGTAGAGAGGTAGTGGGTCAGGGGTCGCGCCACGCCCCGGGGGGGGGGGGGTCGGCGGAAACCAAAAGAAACGGAAACAGACTGACTGGGTTGTGAACAGGCTGTGCTTCTGGACATGGCGCTAACGATCCCGAGCTTCATCCTTTCAACTATGCAGTTCTCTGGTGCTGGCGAGGCACTCGTGACATTCAACTGGCGCTGCAAGTTCATTGGAGTAAATATGAACCTGTCGAATGCTCTCAGGACTCTCAGTGCTCTCCCCCGGTCTGTTCCCAACTTGTGCATACATCCTGTGCCTCGTTGTTGGCTAAGACGGATGTGCAGGCAGTTCTCGTGGGTGGAGCCTTCGTTTTTGCGTTGGTCTTTGGCGTTTCAGTGCAACTTGGACGAACTTTGAGGCACTTTTGTGGTTCTGTGCCTCTGCATCGTCTTGCGCTGCGCGTTTGTTCTGCACGTTTCTGTGCTGATTCTCTTCACAGCAACAAGATTCTGAATTGCCGCAGGTACGCTGTGTTTTGCAACCTCGATGGGAAATATCCGGATGAAGTTCCGCTTATCTCCAACATCACAAAAAACGTTGTGGACAGGCAGACTTTTTTTGATGAGTCCCCGAATGAGGATCAAAGGTAAGACACGATGATGAGCCCCGTCCAAGCGCCGAGTTGACTTTGGTTTGGCTGCGCTTGTCGACGCCACTACGTTACAGTGCTCACATGTGCTCATGCAAAAGCTGCCGCACAGTCGGTCCACGTGCCAGCAGTGGTAATGGCTTCAATTTTCGCCTGTGTGGGAAGCGGGCTCAGCCTATAGGGGTACATCAGAGTATGCGCATGCACTATGCCAAAAAAGAAAGGGTGCGCCCCCTCCTCCAACAAGATGCGCAAAGTCGCGCAGCTGGCTTTCGAGAGCTTACCAGAGAGCACAACGTGAAAACGGAGTTGCAGAGGCAAAAGACAAAAAAAACCTCAGAAAGCGCGACAGCCTGACAAAGAGCCGCAGCCAAAGACGCAGTGACGCAGTTCTCCTTGCGTGTTCGACGGCTGCCAGGGATGCTGTCAGTGCCTTCTGCGCAGCTTGTGGATGCATCACTTCTACGACTCTACGATCACGTACAGTATGCAGATGCAGTACGCTTCCGCACTACTCTCGTATTTGCCTCACGCTGGATTATGTGGGATGCCACCGCGCCAGGACTCGCCTCCAGGCCCAGCGCCCGTTCCAGCAGTCGCTCCCCGAGAGACTGTGCCGAGCAAGTAGACAGTGTGTGTTTTTGCGTTCCTGTTGGGTGCGTGCATCCAATTCGTTGAAGAGGCAAGCTCCATTGCGCAAGGCGCGGGCGAGGGCTCCTCTTTCTCCGTGCTCTCTTCTTTTGCTCTGCCCTCTTAGCTTCGTGCTCAAGGCGAGGAAGCGCCGCCTCTGGCCGCCTGCACTGTGGAAGAGAGGCGCGCGCGAGCGGAGACAGGCAGACACAGCACCCCGAAAGAAAGAAAAGAAAGAGAGAGGGGGCGCCCAGGTCTTGTTCCCAGGTCCGGCTTGGCTCGGCTTGGCTCCTTCCTGAATCCTAGGAGCCCGTTTTTTTGCCTGTGCAGCTTGGCTTTGGGTTTGGCTTGGCTTAGTTTGGTCCCGTGTTTTGTGTTTTTGTTTCTTGCAGCTTGGCTCGGCTCAGCTTGGCTCCGTTGTTGCCCTGCTGGTGCAGCTTGACTTTTTTCTAGACGCGCCTGGCTCTTTTCATTTTCCCAGTGCAGCTTTGCTGTGGCTCGGATTCAGCAAGCTTACTTTAAAAGGCTGCAAAATAGCCTCTCATTATTCTACAGGCAAGTGAAGGACATGAACATCCCGGTAGTTCTTCTGTTTGGTTCCTTTAAAACACGATATTGCATTTTGCATGAATGTTTTTTGCGCGGAGTGCAAAAGAGCACGCACGTCACGTCCTCCTAGTAATGTAAATGCGTGCTACGTGATGAGAATATTAAGGGTGCGGTTGTAGCGTACGAAAGGGCCTTTTGGAGGGGTTATTTCGTCCGGTTGTTTCGTTCACTCTTGGCATTAGATGGCATTAGAGTCTGATAGGCGTGTTCACGATGAGAAAGAAAGAAGTGAACGAACGAACACGCACTCGTAAACTCACTTGTTTCGTGCGTACACCCCATTTGTAATACTAATAGACGAAATAAGAAGAAGAAGAAGAGAAAACATACTGAACATTTATTATCAAGGGCACGCCCCTAAACCAGCAGCTGCGCGCCTTGCGGAGGGTGCGAACATAAACCCGTGAACTCACGGGTTGCTTCCTTTTTCTGGGAGCGCGTGCGCGTTTTGCAGCCGGCTCATGACAAATCCGAACATTCTCAAGTCGGCTCAAGCAGCTCTGGTTCAAGGCGTCGACCTCGCAGGAGGTAGGTTGGTGGCTGACGGGCTGAACTCGCGGGCGCAACCTGCACTGGCCTTTGTTCCACGTCCATGCGAGTCCGCGTCATGAGATGGTTCGCGACACATGTCGTGCGTTGAGTTGCGTGAGCTGCTTCGAGTTTAGTTTGTGCGCCTGAGAATTTCTGCACTTAGCCAGATCACAGTGCAACGAAGTTACCCGCCTCTCCAGCCTCTGGGGCGGAGTGCCAAAATGCAAGCAGAAATCGTCCTTGGGCCACGTGCAGCATAACTCACTTTCCTGCAGCATGACTCAGAGAAGTTCAAGTTGCCCATTTGCAAACATGTCAAGTTTTCATTACATCTTTCATAGCATGACATTTCCATATCTTTGTTTAGCGTATTTTTGTACCAAGGGTTCAGACTAATTATTATCATTCGTTACTAAACATGTACTCCATTGTGCAACTTTGCGCGTGCAGATGCAGGACCGGGGGGTGCGCCCCACCCCACCCTAGCCGCCCCTTTTGTTTTTTTTGTTTATTCTTTGTGTCGTGCAAGAATGGGTTCATGAACAGTTTTTCGTAAGATGAACTGCCACACGTGTTTCAAAACCCATATGATTGTTTTATATATTCGCTGCATTTGGCTGCGCGACCCCGCAGCCCTCGAGAGGCGGAGAAGTGGGAGACAGAGACACAAACAGAGGCAGCGACGGAGACAAAGCGAGAAAGAGAAAGCAGGAAAGAGAGAGAAGGGGGGTGGGGCGTGCGCGGCGAAGGCACATCGGTCTGTGGTTGCCCGACACCTGAAAGAAGAAAAACGGAGAATGGAGAGATGGAGAGGTGAAGAAGCTGTCACCCGCGCAAAAACTGAGACCCGCAGCTCAGGCGACCGGCAGGATCGCTGTTGGAAGAGTGGTCGCCCTGGACAGCTGACAGGGGTAGGATGTGTATGCCCCGTATGTTCCGCATCTTCCGCAGACCGCAGGCATGTCGTGTGGAGCCCCTTTCTTCCCAACTGCATCCATGCTTGAAAACCTCAAGCATCTTTACCTGCCCCCCCCCCCCACCCGCATGCTCACTCCTGCCACCGTGGACCTTTTTCAACTTTTTCAAGGCGCTTGCCCGTGCCAACACCCAGGCAATCTCAAAGAATCGAGCAAACACAATCACTTCCAACATCTTGTCCTCAAAATGTGGGCCTTTCATCACGATGCCTTCAGATGCATTAAAAATTTGTTTTAAGTTACATCTGAGATGAGTTGATGAATGGACCCAAGCAGGCTAGAGCCCCTGGAGCCTCTGACAGAGTGCAAAAGTGCATGACGGCCACATCGTGTTTCATCTTTTCTTCCACAGGCAGTCCTCTCTTTGCCCAAAAGAGCTACAACACTTATTTGTTAAGTATCGTGGTAATGTGCATATTTAGCTCCTGCTACAGCCGGCGAAGACAAGCTCAGGACGCATTCGAGAACAGCCAGCTGTTGCTGTCTCCCTACGCTTTTCGATCTCCTTTTTGGAGTTGTTTCCTGCTGGTGTGTTGTGGGAGAAAGGGCGATAAATTGAGAAGTACTTATGAAGCACATCCTGAAAGATGCGCTCCGCGCCTGCATAGCCTTTATGTCGCTGCGCGCCATGCATGCGCAATCGTCGTGCTCTTCCACCATTTTCCTTTAATTGGCGCCAAGAGGCTTTCTAGGCATTTTTCTAACCTCCAAGTGTTTCAATGTATTTCAAAGTCGCCGAAGGTGGTTCGTCAGAGATGCTGCGGATTTTGAGATGTGGAGATCGCGAGGCCAATGCCTAAGCTTCCTTGCAGGCTTTGCTCTCACCATGGCAAGCAAGAACCACCAGCAAAACATAGAGAAACCACAAGACGCAAGTGTGCCTGTGAGTGCGGAGGTCCCAATGCAGTGAGCGTCAGGTGCCAGGCAGCAGAACGTAAGGCTGAGGCACAGGATTTTGGGAGCCGGGGGGGAAGGACTTTTTTTGGGACCCCAAATGGACATTAACATACATTAACTCTTCGCCCTTGGCCTCCTCGTCAGGAAGTCACCTGCCTGGAGTGTGTCAGCCACGTCTCGGACACCACCTTCTAGTTCGGTTCGGATGGCATCTCCATAGCATTGTGAGATTGTATATCATCTCTTGCGACTAGGATCTCCCTTTCACATCGCGCCGCACGGATGCGCGGCTGCTGCCAAGCGAACGACGCAGGAGCCCGGGAATCGCTCTCATGCAAGAGTTCCCCAGTTCCCCAGTTCCCCAGTTCCCCAGTTCCCCACAATTCACAACAGATATCAACAGATATAACAGATGTCAGGCAGGCAACCCTGGATGCACTGGCATCGGTGATGCAAGCCAGGCAGATGTGAAAAAAGAACGGGTTTCCAACGGGTTTCCAGTTAAGGCACTTTTTTTTGTCTTGCTGAGCGTACGCGACAGCCTCCAGGCTTGTTTCTCCTTGGAGGCCAGGAAGCTGGGAGGTTGAGCTCGGCTTTTCAGCTTGCTTCCTGGCATATCAGACCTTGTCCGTTTGCAGGAACGGGAGCATGGATCTCTGTCGACGCGTTGCTGGGGCGGCTGGCGGTGAGAACGCTTTTTGCAAAGCTGCTGCCGTGATGGTACCTGCTTAAAGCAGGGGTGTCCCGGTGGATAGGTTGTTAGGCAGCGTCCCTGGAGCACACAGGCAGTCAGGCAACTGGCGCAAGCTATGATCCGCAATCATCTTCCGAGACGTTTCGGATCTTCGGAAGGCCTTCTAACGTGTTTTTTTCCCAACTTGTGCAGCAATGATGCACGAAGCCCAAGCGTGAGAAAGGATGCCGTCTGTAAACAATCGTCAGTCCGGAAGGCATTTGTGGAAGGCATTTGTGGAGAGCAAGGAGAACCACACCTCACGCTGGGAGTGTTTCACAAACCCGGGAGTCGATCAACTTCCAAAGTAGCCCCAAATCGAAATCTTCATTTCTCCGGAGCCAAGAAAAGCTGAAGCCAACGGCTGCGAGGCCGAGATCCTCATGGCACGTGACTGGTCTTAGTAGAACAACCTGTAGTGCAGTAGCTCTTGCATCTTTACGGCCTAGGGTCAGGGCCCACCACCCAGGAAAGGGATTCTGGACTGGGAGCACCGCTGTCAGTAGCTCGAACTTTCAGGATGAGGATAAGTCTTTATTGTGGCTGCGATTGCCTCTTCGAATCGACATTCTACCCGACAAGAACATGAGGGCAAACATCCCAATGAACATCAGCACTTGTCCGTTTTTCTTTTTGTTTGTTGATGCACTTTCAGCTGGCCTCTCGGCATGGCATAGAACAAGAAAATGTGGTCGAAAAATTCAGACTGAGCGGCACGGCCACTGAATCTAAAGCAGCGGCTCATGGCCACATTCTTTGCTTCAAGACTCCTGTAGCACTGTAGACTGACTGCGCTGATTGCGGCCCATGGCGAAGCCACCTGCCTGCACGTGCGCACACACACACACAGATACACGCCACCATTCAGGAAGCACGTGCGTCCCGACCGTCAATTTTTAGTTAGCTCACACTACGTGGGTCGCTTTGTGTTTCTGTTGTGAGCAACTTTGAAGCCGAGGCCCGTCAGTCTGAAGAGAAGGTTCCAGGCTCGTTGATCACATTCCGCGATTTGACTCGCAACTAGCCGTAGCTAGCCTTCTGCCGAAGGACGACGATGGAAGCCACATCGAGCTGAGTGGGCAAGAGCTGGCACAATCAGAGACCGAAGGTGCCTCCGCAAAAGTGGCGCCCCAGCATTTCACGCATGTACGTGAGCCGTTGGAGATGCATGCGCAGGCGCTGCTCAAAAGCAGACAGATGAGTTCGCAAAGGCCCGGATTGTGTGACGACCAGCTTGTCACTTATCGTTGGCATGTTGGCATGGGCATCACGCGATTCCAGGCCATTGCGCAGGAGCACATGCACGAGGCTAGTTTCGGAGCGCGGGCCAATTTCCTTCTTTAAACATGATCATCGCGTTGGGGTTCGACGTTCAGATTAGGCCACAAGCTATCTGTCGAGCTTTTTGCTGCAAGCTCGGGTTCTTCTTCCCCAACGCAGTCCCACTACCGCCTTTTCTGCACATTAGGCCATAATCTACTTCTGTCTGCAAACGCAGCTGTGGTACATACCACATGTCGCATATGATTACCCACTGGTGATGTCACTGACTCTACTTGCGATTGCAGCAGGTGCCGGACACTCACAAACCTTTTGTTGGAGCACAGCCTAAGCTGCTGAAAATGCCAAGAATAGCCGACAATGATGCCGCTTGCCTTGACTTAGCGCCTGTTTGCCTTCGCTCAACATGCCGCTCAGCTCAAGCTTTCAAGGAGTACGCAGACTAAGGAAAGCTATCGAGCAACCCGAGTTGCTTGCCAAGCAATTTCCACCGCCATCACCGGAGCTGAGGGCGTCGTGCTCGTTTTTGCACAGGCGCGTGCCCTCAGGGCTGAAGGATAATGAAAGATTCGCAGAAGGAAGCACTGAAAAACCTCCTGAAGAATGCTGAAGGCGAGTGCATTTGTGCCCCCCCCCCCCCAAATGTGGCACATGTGCCTCAGAGGACGCGTCCATGTCCGGCGACTGCAGGGGCCTCTTGGAGCTCTGCGCTGCCACTCGGAACTCGAAGCTTGCACATTCTTGCACGATCTTGCGCGCGATGTTGTGCGATTTTCCGGGCTGCGCAATCCTGACCCAAGAGACTGCGGCACACATTCGAAAGGCCTTATGAAGGATACGTGTCTGGAGAGGGGAGGGGAGGCCGCCTTGAGCAGAAAGTGACGAGAGTCAACTTGCCACTTCCCAGGATTCTGCGGATGCCATCGAGAAGGCAAGAGTTTGTCATGACAGAAGTGACGTCAAATCACAAAGAACATCTGAGAATTCCAGCGATCATTTCAGAAGATCATTTCAAAGCATGTTCAGAGATGTGTCTTTTGAGGCAAAAGTCCATGTCGCACCTGCCGTGGACTGGCAACATACCTTGCCAGCCACACAGAGCAAGCTCGCAGCTGAGCTATAAAGGCATTCCTGAATTTCGACTTGTGGATGGAGTTGCGCCTCCAGGTTTCAGCCCATCCCGATTGCAGCCGCCGGTAGTCGGCTATTGATTTACGTAGGCCTGGGATGTTTCTGTTGTGGAAAGCTCAAGCTCCCAACTTCGAAGGCACGCCGGGCAAGTACGCGACAATGTGCCTTCGATCAGATCATGGTCAGTTCGATGCTGCCTACCAGGCATGGCCCGTATGGCATTTGATCTTGCATGTTTCGCACGCTTACGAGCTTCTCTTTAGCAGCTAGTGTTTCTGAGGTGTGCTTTAATATGGCTTCTACTTGGGTACTCAGGATGCCAGACGAAAGTGTTTTTGAAAGCCGGTTTGCCAAACGTTCATTCCAGCAGTGACCAGCACAAGAGTATCACGAAGCAATACAAAACAGAAAGCGAAAGTCGAAAGTAGCGCGTCGTTTCTTTCTGTCCTTCGTTGAGTGGTCAACCTCGCGTAGCATGGCGTAGACGTGTACGCGGAAGCCGCGGGGCTGCCTGCGCGCTGAAGCCTCGCAAGTAGCCGCACAGCCGCACAGCACGAGTGAGGGGGCCGGGGTTTCGGCAACAGAGTACAAACATGTACTAACACCCATGAAGCGTCAACATCACAGGCTCACAAAGGGCCGCCACATGCAATTACTTCTAGTATTCTAGTTCATGAGGTCGTATGACCTCATCCTGCAAAGGGTCGCAAGAAACTGTGAAAGCAAGACCAGGAGTGACAGACAAAAATTGGGCTTACATAGTGGGACTCTTCTCGTGCTCGTCTTCGCAGGCAGACCGACTCATCGTTCTTTGCAAGGGAGATGCTCGGACAGCAAGACAGTCGGCATTTTTTGACATGGTGAACCTTGGCCGCTTGTGGCAGGTCTGCATGCTCCCCATTGGCACGCAAGAGCAGAATATTCTTGGCGTCGACGAAAAGGAGGTGAAACCTGTGTTTGGCAAGGGCTTGGTGCGGCTTGCCCCCATGTCACAAGGGGCTTGCCCCCATGTCACAGCAATGTACAGAAAAAAGGGCCAGCGTTCAAGACCCAAGCAAGTTGGGAAAGTTAGGAAGTCTCCCCACTCCTGCGAAAGGTGCTGAAATCAATTTGCCACGAAGTAAAACTGAAAGGCAGGGCTACAGAGAGCTTTCTTGTTCACAAGCTGCTACAAGCGATGATTTGACCATTCCACCTGCTGGCCAGGGCCTGTTGCCTGGGGTCTCGGAGCTGGAACCAAAACTTTGTTTCTGCAGAAGGTGCGGAGACTCCGCAGACATGAGCGATGAGTTCAGCCCAAGCTGCCCATCAGAAATCTGTCAGGCTTTTGGCTACCCGCAGGCGTCGAAAAGTCATCGCATGTCGTAGCTACCTTGCGTCGGCCCTTGCATTGCTGATGCCCAGACCGGTGCTGTGGCAGTGCAGGCTTTGGCGATGCCTTCACAGCTCACTTTTGCAAAAGAGGGGACTGGAGGCTTCAAGTGCCTGGCTGGCAGCTGAGACTGCCACACAGTGTCCAACAGTGCCAACTGTACCTGCTTTGACCGGTGACACGTGAGTCTGCCATCAGAGCGCAAGAGCCTCCCAAGAGCCTTGGGATTGCGAGGCCGACTACGTGAAACATTCCAACGGCATGAAGTTGGCGAAGCCGCCGACCCAGGGCCCAATCATGCCCAATTTCAACACTAAGTCGCTAAGTCTCGCGAAGTGACTACGCCCTGTTGGAGCACAAGGGTGTGGTGGTTTTTAGGCCCCAAGGCTTTGCTAAGGGCTGGGATCAGCCCACAACTTGCGCCGTAAAGCTTCCAGGCAACCTGTGCACCCGAATAGTTACCAAGGCGATGGTCAAGCGCCGCGCATTTCTTAGGGTTTCTCAGGGCATCTGAGCTCTCAGGGGCACCCCGTTGACAGCGTTGCAACATGTTGCAACATGTTGCAACAAGTTGATCTACATTGAGATTTGGAGCAGCAAAGACTTCAAAGAGTTTGCCTCAAACTCTCCATGACAATCCTTGCTCTCTGTGCAGTCCTGAGACGACCGTGCGGCACCCGGCTTGTGCTGCTAGAGAATCCCCCAGCCCCGGTGCCACACCTCACTGCCCTGCCCGTGAAGAAGAAGATGTACATGCGTGTATCAGGAGCAGTGTTGTAAGCATTGTGTTTCAACAAGGGGACACGTCTAGTTTAGATCATTTTTTTGTAGGGTTGTCTTGTTGTGCGCACGTACTAGTGTGCGTACAATGCAAGGCGCATACCCTAAACCCTACAACCTAAACAACTAACGTAGATCCAATGTTGACTTGAAGTTGCATGCCTTCTGTTTTGTTCATTTCTTTTCGTTGGAAAAGCTATATAAGGGCCCACCCTAAAGCGGTGCCCCTAAAATCGAAGAAATTTGTATTTGTCGGGGTGCTAATCCTCGAAAGTCGATAGGGGCCCAACGAGCATGTTGCGCAAGGTTCGGCAAACCCACGGTTTAAACACGATTCCTGGATTGAGTGAACCCTTACAGCTCCAGAGGCATTCATGCACATAAAGAAGAGAGGATATGATTGGTTTTTGGCGAGAGAGACAGAGAGAGAGAGAGAGAGAGAGAGAGAGAGAGAGTGTGTGTGTGTGTGTGTGTGTGTGTGTGTGTGTTTGTGTGTGTTTGTGTGTGGTTGTAGCTGTTTGTGTGTGTGTGTGTGTGTGTGTGTGTGTGTGTTTGTGTGTGTGTGTGTGTGTGTGTGTGTGTGTGTGTGTGTGTGTGTGTGTGTGTGTGTGTGTGTGTGTGTGTGTGTGTGTGTGTGTGTGTGTGTGTTTAGCACTTGCTCTCTCGCGGCTTTACGCAGGTGAAGAACTACTACGACACGGGTCTGACGGCCTGAGACCCAGGCGCAGGAACAAAGTTCAGATGCCTATGCCTGGTCGCGACACTCACTTTGTGATGCAAGCCAAGAGTGAAATGCCCACTGAGGTCTCCGTCCTTATGGCCACGGTTGTTTCAGAGGTCCCCGAGCTTCTTTTAATTTTGAGAGGGCAGCTTGGGATAGTCACATTTGAGCCGCACACTCACAAACTCTGTCTCCTTCTCTGGTATGATGATGCACTGAGTGAAGCGCTTGAGTGTTCTTGCGAGGGCACTTCTCTTCTCACCGACGCTGATGGCCTCGCCATGCTGCGTGATGCCAGTATCGGCCCGCACCTCAACAAATGATGTCGCCAAACTTTCCCAAAGATCTTGAATGCTCTTTTGCGGCAAGTGCTGCTGACTGAAGGGCACATCATGTCGAAGCTCAACCAGGCTTTGCCTTTGCCCCCTTGACATGCCTTTTTGCCCTCACACCCTCTCTCTCCAAGAGCAGGTCATCACTGTAGAAGAATTGGCAAAGAAGCGGCTTGGTCTTTTCAACGCAATGCTGACCAGACCTGTGCACTCGTAACGTATCAATCTTTCTAAGGAAGAGCGTCTACAACTTCTTCATCGGTGACCCTTGGTTGCAACCGCAGCTCCCGGAAGACCAATCTCGCCACCCAACCGCTCCACCCGTCGCACCCCCCCCGCCCATCCCTTGCCTACAACAGTAGGATTACAAGGCTTCTGCCAGAGGTGGAGCCCACATGATTCCATGGACGACATCGCCTTCGCCCTTTGAAGCTTCTTTGAGAGAGCTTCTGCACATGTCTGCATGCGCCAAATCCTGTCGAGGATGGAGCATGCAGGCTCAATGGAGGGACGGAGTTGACGCTGCACCTGATGGAAGGCAATCTGGCGCAATTTGGCAATGGCTGGTGATGTAAAATGCCCATGGCGACTTCTCTTTGAGTTTCAATGATGTCGTGCACAAAGGCAAGTCGGCCAATTCGTTGACAACCGTCTTCCTCTTCAACAACAAGGCATTTCTGAGATGGCAGTGGGATGGCAAAGAACGGACCCACTGAGCGATGGTGAGCGTGAAACGAGAGAGGCGTCTTGAGAGGCAGCGCACAGTTGCTCCAACTGTCGCTCCAAAAACATGTGTGTGGGGGGCGTGTCTTCGACCTCTTCAGGCCTGGGCCATTGAGGACAACCTGGTGGCAACAAAGGAGCAGGAACACGTGCTCCGGCTCAAGCTGCCATTTGCAATTCTTGTCGCAGGTTCCATGCTGAAGGCTTCAGGCTGAAGTGCTGAGGTATGCTGAGGCTGAGGAGTCTGAGGGCTCTTGCGAAACCTAGGGCATGCGATTGGCTGTCGGGCCACGTCTGAGAACGCTATAAGACCTGAGTACGACACCTAGTTGATCTTAGTCTGAATCACTAGCTGCACTAGCGGCGCAGCCCTGGCCGAACTTGTCGAGATTTGTCGAGGTGCTCTACAACACACAATTCTATGATGTCGTTGCCGAGCACCAGCGGATGTGCATTTGCCACTTGGGAAGTTTTGACAGGTGCATCTAGGAGAGCCCGCCATTCACTGCTAGTGAGCTTCGAGTGGCTGCCTTTGGCCCAGCATTCGGTTTAGGGTCAATAGTGCGGTGCTCGGAGCAGTGCTCTCAGGTGAAACGGAGCAGGACTTGAGGGAGATCCTTGTCCACCTCAGCGCGCCTTGGCGTTTCCAACTTCCAACTCCGGCAGTTGCAGGGAAAACTCGAGGAGAGCTGGAGAGAAGGCGGGCACCAACCAGCGTCACGTCTCACCAACAGACGGTGAAGTGAACAGCACGGAAGCCCCCAATTGTACTCCCTTGTCTCTTTCATACGGTGTGTTCCTCAACTTCACCACTGCTACAAAGCCACCCACGAAAAGCGTGGCCATGGCACAACAGACCTTCGGGGCAGCTCCCCTTCGGGGGCCACGCGGGCGGAGAGAGAGAGAGAGAGAGAGCGAGTTCCTGCCCCTGGCATGCTCGTCAGAAGAAAATGAAGGAGAGAGAGAGAGAGAGAGAGAGAGAGAGAGACAGAGAGAGAGGGGGTCCTTCGGGGCTCTACGCTGGGCAGAAGAAGAGAAAGAGAGAGAGAGAGAGAGATAGAGAGAAAAAGAGAGAGAAAGAGAGAGAGGCCCCTTGCCCATTTTGTGACAGAAACCCCACCCCAGCCGGGCCGCAAAACGCGGCCGTCTCGCATGACATCTGGGACGTGCGCGCCCTCCGGGGCAGCTCTCCTTTCGGGGGGGGCTAAGCGTGTGGAGAAAGAGAGAGAGGGAGAGAGAGAGAGGCCAGGGGCGCTCGGCCAGGGGCATACCATTCGACAACAATACCAAAACCTAATCATCACCAGATCCAAGCGCATCCAGCCTGCTGGCGGACGACCAGGAGAACGATGGATCACAACCGCACCTCACCCTAAACCCACACACAATGATGATGGCACCGATTGGGCTGAACTACTTAGCGGACACCGCCAACCACGCACCGATACCCAACACACACCTGCCACAAACAACCAGGCCTAGCCAGAACGCCCAGAACCACAACCACACCACACCAGCAGATGGAGCACCAGCTTATGATGGACCGGTGCCACCCAGCCTACCGCAAGATCCAGCCACAAAGATCTCTTTCGAAGAACACAGCGGAGGCTGGTGTCTAGAAGTGACAGCACTACCAAACCCACCGAACCCAGACCCAAGCCACCAACCAACCCACACCCTGCCACCAGGTACCACAGGTTTGCTGTGCCAGGAAACCGACACCACACACCTATGGACGCGACACATCCATGATGCCCCGGAAACACCACACCAACTCCCCGGAGGCCCATATTTAGCGGTGTGCACACGCCCACCACATTGTCACCCAGATCGTCCGTCGGCTCAGGGGAGAACAACACTGACGACCTCGACCCCGCTCAACAGAGCAACTGCAGCGCCTTGCAGAGCTAACAGGCAAGCAGCAGCAGCCCAACACCTCGTTGCCAGGGCCCCAGCCTGGAGTCCGCCACAACCTAACAGGCCGCCAAACCCCCCCAGCGAACCAACACCACCAAGTGTCACCGGATGTGCAGCGGATGTTCTGGGACTATCGCATGGAGCAGTGGAAACCCACGGGACCAACCCCAATCCACCCCCCACCACACACCTTCACCAAGCGGTGCAAGTTATCCAGAACACCATGCCCCTTGTGGAGCAACCAGCCATGCAACTTACAGAAGCAATCCACGAACACTGGCCTCAGGGAGCGGCCTGGTCACCTAAGCAGCAAAGCACCGTCACAGTTGTACACCACCAGGCACCTGCTGTATATCCCAAAGGTTGGCTGTGGACCACCCTTACCCTCAATAACTTGGTGTCGAGCCTGTGGACATAGGTAGCCTCCTTGCAGTTTCACTCGATATCCCGATTCCCTGATGACCTCTGGAGCACGCCCGTGAGGGCGACCTCCTACGGGGTTAAGTGCAGTGGAAGGAAGGAAGGAAGGAAGGAAGGAAGGAAGGAAGGAAGAGAGAGAAAGAGAGCGAGCGAGAGAGAGAGAGAGAGAGAGAGAGGGAGAGGAGAGGGAGAGGAGAGCGAGAGGAGAGCGAGAGGAGAGCGAGAGGAGAGAGAGAGAGAGAGAGAGCGCGCGAGAGAGAGAAGCAGACACAGAGGGATAGTAGGCAAAATGTGAAGCGTCTCAGCACGCGGCAGAAATTGTCAAGGAGAGGGCTTCCAAGTTCTTGGCTGGAGAAGCTAAACCAGGCCACTTGGCACCTGCAATCTTGCGGAGAGAAGTGGGGATTCGGTGGGGACGATGTTCAAGGCTCCGCGAAGCTGCGAAGTGTATAAGGCTGCAGTCTGTCGGGGAGGGTCGGCGGATGCGGTATGTCAGTCTCCGAGGAATGCACATGGTCGTGGTCCGCGGATTGAAGATGAACCTGCCTCCAGTCATCGGTGACATCGAACCCATTCGAGCATCGCAGGCGTCTTTACGTCACGTCCTGCTTTGGAGTGACCCTTCTGCTGCAGACTTGCATACGGCAGTACTCAATAGTCATCCATGTTGTCCAGGGTTTACGAGCTTGGCCAAGCTGCTTGTTTGAATGGCTTGAGTTGGCTTTTTTGACATCTTGACTGTCGAGTTGTGGAGTGTCAAGCTTGGCAGGAGATGCGCTTTATGCGAGAAGTTCTGGGAACCTTTGCAAAGGGCTGCGAGAACCGCGTTCCCCTTTACGGTTGCTCTGCGTCCCCTGCCTGCCTAACGGCATAAAGAATTCATGAAATTCATGACCGACCGCTCCTCCGTTGAAGTTGAAACATGTTGAAACTGGCCGAGGTTCGAATACATCCAGTACCTGCACATATTCTTGGAAGAAATGCCAGAAGGTGTCTCTACTATGACCATCCATTGATGCAAAGTGCTGCGACTTGCTCTGCTTCGAGTTGTGAGCGAGTTGTGGCGGATCACGAAAGCTGGCCCTTGCAAGCTAGCCGATTACCTACCGTAAGGTTGAACAACAGGTGTGGGGAGGGGGTCCAGCTGCGGGTGGTGCAAATTGGGGGGCGTCCCCCGCATGGACTCCGCGCGGCGCTTAGGCTAAGCGCCCCGACAGCTCAGGATCAAAAAACAGCATCCAAACCGTGCACGGGTGAACAATACATCTCTCAGGGCTGCATCCAAACCATGCGCGGGTGAGTTAAGGCTCTGACCTCTGATGCATCTCCAAGGGCTGTGCCAAACCATGCTCTGCATGTCCATGTTTTTTTGGGCCTCGGAGCACGTCCGCGGCTCGCGAAAAAGTCCACTTCCGGGCTGCCTTCCCGTTCTCCCAAAGCCGGAATCTTCTGGGCACGCTGCTTTAGTTCCCTCTGCCCGTCCCCCACATGCGGCTCCGACATGCCTGCTAAAGTTTATAAAGCTTTCAAGTGCCGAGGCAAGCAGTACCAGTACATTTGCGGCCGCACGGACATCCAGGCGGCACACATGATGGGTTTCCACCAGCCAGAAGGCAAGTGTGTCCTTTTCATCAATGAGCCTTGCCTGCAGTTTGCACGTGCTTGCGGCGCAACAGCTGGAAAGTTGTTTTGGAGCGTGGGAAAGTGCGGATGAAAGTTGATGGAAGTAGGGTGAAGTCAAGGGTGAAGTCATGTGAAGTCCACGGAGGACGTCTACGGCGTGAACTCACTCGGGGAGAGCCTGCGCTTCGTGCTGAGCGGCTTCGGCGGTCGGCAGGTCCTGGTGGTGGTTTGGCACCCTTCCGTGCTCAAGGCCGGCTGGATGCAGAGACCTATAAACGGATGCAGTCGTTCTGCAGATTTCATATTTTTTGGGCAAGCTACGCCTGAGCTTTGTGAAATAATGTGGAGCTACCTGGGGTCGCTGTGAAGTTGGTAGAGGTGCCAAGCTCGGTTGTACCTTAGGGCATCTAGACGTCTCTCCGCTCTTTTCCTCTCCTCAGTGTTGGGTGCTTTGGTGGTTTTTATAGACCGGCTTTTGGGGCCTTGTGGCACAGGTCAGCGAAGCCCCAAAAGCCTGGCCTAAATTGAAGAACTCAGGCAAAAGCCACGACCAGACTCGTTAAGGTTCTTGGGGTCACAGACCCCAGGCGCTTCGCCGAAAGTCCGCCAACCGCGCACGCCAGGAAATGGAAGCGCAGGGTCTTTGCCAGCTGGGAAAGAGCCCAAATGCTTCGAAGCCAACCTATAGGTTCTCCTGCGCCTTTTGCCAGCATTTGCCAGCTGACAGGCTGGTCAATGCTGGTCAGGCTGCAAAACCCCAGTTGCAACGGGCACAGAAAAGCCTGCGGTCTTTAGAGCTCTTGGGCATCCAGCCTTCACAACCATCCGAAACGAAACGATGCCAGGAAGGCGAACATGGAGGCCCTTCGAGAGCCATAGCCCAGCCAGAGCTACAAACGCATGCCAAGCCGAGCTTCGAGCCAGTGGCGGTGTCCCCAGAAGTTGCTCAGCAGGGACCCGAGACAAAGCCCGGGGTCAACGGCCAGGCCACCAGGCCTAGGCAAGAACAAGCTCGCACGGCAAGGGAAAAGGTTTGGCCAAGATGAAGCCAACGCGGGAGTCGTGGCTCGTGACTAAACTTGTTTGTCTCTCTCTCTCTCTCTCTCTCTCTCAATGTGACAATGTGACAAGTCAGGTCATTGACAACTTCCATTTGCATCGGCCGCCCATGGTCTGGCCATCCTTGGGCCCCCAACTGGCTCGGCTTCATGGCCGTTGAGGTTTTTGAATGTTTGTGAGGCTTGTTTCTTTTGCACAAAATTGTCCCGTGCTCTTTGCATGTATTCTGCATATCTCTTACGAGATTCTGCCACCATAAGAATTTGCGCAGTCACGAGCGTCTGCCATTCCCAATATGCAATGAGGTATTACGTTCGAAAGGAATCTGATGCATTTTTTGCGGACTTCGAGGGGGAGTCTAGATCAACAGAGCCCCTTGGTGACAGTTGAGCTGCCGCATGCTGCCGTGTGTTGCCGTGTGCGCGGATTGAGGCACAGAGGGACATGTCAGAGTCTGCAGCTTTCTGTGATGTGGTGCAGAAATCAAGGCGTGTGAAGGCAGCAATCGAAGCTGGCACACCTCTGGTTATGGTCAATGTCATGCCTCAACAGGCCAAGCTCATAAGGGAACGTGAGGGGGGGCCTCATTGCAAAGGGCTTGCTTTCAAACATGTGGGAGATTTATGTCAGGAGTGCAACTATGTACAGCTCGACGCGCGCATCAAGATCAAGGATTGACCTCATATCCGTGGCCAAGATGCGCCCATCGTTTTGCGAGAAAAGAGGAGGCTTTGCATGTTGTCTGGGCACCCTGACCCCCTCTCCCCACTCCCCTAGGTCCTGCCTGGTTCGAATTCCTCGGTTGCATTGATTTGCATTGGTTCGGGTTGGTTCTTTGATCTCATTGCAGTTGATGTGCCTCATTTGGTTCCAGCGAGCTTCGCCCTTTTGCCTGGGCCTTGCCTCGACCATGGGAACGGGCGCCTCAGTTCCTTCACCTCCCAGTTCCTGGTCCACGTGTCGGGACTTGACTCAAGAGGAGTACATCAAAGAGCACCAGAAGTATTATGAAGCTTTCACGAACACCAGGTGGGCAGAAGCCTATCAGAGCGTTGCTTCCCAAACCTCTGCCGGCGCGCTCGCTGCCCTTGGAGAAACCAATTATCAGAACTGCATCCGATTTGCTGTGGGTGCTATTGGCCACGCTCAAGAAAGCCCCAGAGATGTAGAAGAAGCAGTCGCAGTTCTCTGCCGAAGCGTAGAAGTGGCTAAGTGGAGGGCAACAAAGGCAGCGAGCTTTGTGATGGATCACCCGAAGAGGACACTGGTTGCTCGGGAGCGGCGTTAACTTCAGAGAAGTTCAATAAGACTTTCGTGGCTTCTTTTGCCATTCTTTGCCCATACAACGAAGATGGTTTTGATGGTTTTGAGTTGTGATGAATTGTGATCTATTTCAACTGTTTTCGGGACTTGTCGAGACAAAACAAGCACCTCCCAGGTTCTCGAGGGGTTCATGAAGGCACTGTTTCCGGAGTTTGCCGCCAAGGGCCCGGAGGCAAAAGGAACGTCCTGCACCCTTTGCAGATGTGCAGAGCATTGTGTCATTGTGAGTCCAAATAAGTCGATATCCTTTCCAAAGATTCAAAATCCCAGGCTCAGGCAGACCTGTTACTCGGAGTCATTGACGGAGATTCCAAATCCCTGGGTGCCGTCGTCTTGTCTGTAGCTCGAGCATGCATTGCGGACGGCCTTGGGGCTGCAGCTAAATTGGGGATCTCGTTTCAGGAGGTGTGCAGCGAGGGTTTAAGTTCAAGTTAGGTGGGTTTAGAGGGGTTATTTAGGGGGCTTGGATGGAATGTTTTGAATGCTGTCGACGTTGCTTGCGTCACATAGCGTCTTGCCTCTTTTGGCACATGCTGGTCGTGAAGCGTGCTGCGGCGTTCAGGTTTGGAAGAGAAGGCCTTGGGTTTGTTGGAGAAGTACTTGAAGCTTCACAAGGCTCCAGACGCCTACGATGCAGGGGACCTTCTTGCCCTGTGGTATGCTTTGCAGTGGCGAAAGTCGGGCAAGAAACCAAACGTTGTTGGCAAGGTGGCCCTCGTTCTCCTGAAAAGCTCGCACATGAAAGTTGTTGTGGATGATGAGGGGACGGAGCTGGATGCTGGCGTCACAAGTTGGGATAAGGACATTCTCAAAACAGTTACCGTGCCAGATGTCATGCGGGACTGGCGACTCTTCAGCGATGCCATGTGCTTCCTCAATGACAGTACTGGCAGTACTTTCAGTGTTGGGTTCGAGCCGATTCTTGTTGAAGACTGCTGGGAGGTGTTGACCAAGGCTCAGAATCCACTCTGGGATTCCAAGTACAAGCGTTGCATTTCCCACACTGACTTTGGAACACCAGAGTTCATGTCTGCCGTGCAGAAGTGGGAAGAAGGCTATGTGAAGGCAGGGGTGTTTTGTCTGATGGCTCTCCCTCTGCTCTCCCTTTCTCCGTTTTGTTGCGGGTCCCTGCGTTTGGCATTGGCCACAGGAAGCTCAACACCTGCCCACAACATTAGTTATTAGCAAGTCCCAGTCTATGTTCAATCTTCACCAATTGCCAACGGCAGATTCATATTTCATGCTGTCTGACCGTAAGACACTAACTGGGGTTGTTAACAAGAACCACGTCTTGCGGTTTAGAAAGGAGTGCCCCCGAGTAGCGTTACTGGTGCTTGGAATGTAAGTGCAGATCTTTTTCCTTTTTTGAAGTCTCGCGGTGTCCTTGGTGCATCTGGGTATTTTGTTCAGTTGGAGTCTTGGATATCAATCAAGCTCACTGTTCACCTGACCACTCATTGGGTACAGTAGTAGCTGCTACTGAGTAGCTGCTTCGGTCCTGTTGATGATGCTTTAAGAGCACTCCTGGAATGTTGCATGCTATGCTGTATGCACCACCTAAAAACACGACAGCGCCATCCGAGCAATAGCCGACTTTCCCGTTCGCGAGGAAAAAGGAGGGGACTCAGATGTGCTGGCATTCCACCTGCTTTTTCCTGCTGGCCGTCCCTGTGAGGCACGTTTGCGCGTCTAAGACATATTCGAAATGTTTGTGAAGTATTTGCCAAGTGAAGTAATGGTTCATAACTATTCACGAGCCTCCTGTAGGCCAAAGTGCCGATCACCGTGGGGGGGATTGCCACCGGCACGATCAACCACAGAGCTTTCAAGGGCAGGCCAGCCTACCAAGCCACTCAGACTTTAGCACTAATACGCCTTTCACAACGAACTGGCAGAGAGAGTTCAGCTCCAAGCAATGGCATTGCAGAGAGGCGGATGTCACAGGTTTCTCAGGGCCCTATGTCCGACGAGACATGCTAGTTCAAAGTTTGAGAGCTTCTGTGTTTTTTGGGGCTTCGAGGTTGGCAATTCGTCACTTCAGTCATTTGTGGGTCGTTTTTAAAGTCATGGTTCGTCATCTGCAAGCCGATGCCAAAGGATGAGGGCGTAGTATGGACGCGCCATCATCGGCTCTTCTGGATGTTCCATGAAACGCATCACTTGTATGAGAGCCAATTTCAAGACCGCTTCGATTTCGCCCAGCTGATAAAGAAGACTGACCATCCAATGTTCCAGTCTGAGAACTGGAGTGCGGAGTTCAAAGGGGGAAACGCCGCTTTTCCAGGGGACCACTGGCATGGCGAAACCGAGTTTGATTGGTACGTGCAAAGCATCACCCGACGCTTGGCTCCCATGACTGACATGACCCTTGGAGAGTACTGGCTTTCTTGGTGGGGGGGCCGTGAAGCAGAGGAGGAGGGTGCTTACCATGACTTCATTGTTGAGCACCATGTGCTGTGGAACGCAAGCGTCCAGGAGGACTGGGAGACAGTCTGCAAGCTTGCAGAGTCCCAGCTCAGGCCCATGTCCTTTAAGAGGCTGGGAGAACACAACTATCGGAACGTGGTGACTGTGGTGGTTCGCGGGCTCACGTTGACCGGAAAGCCGTTAGACGGCCCAGTGCTGGAAGCCTTGCGAAAAGGCATGCAGATCTTGGAGTACCCAGATGAGCGTGCGGCCGAGCTCGTCCACGGCATCCCTGCCGAGAAGAGGGAGGAATGTCTGCGGTTGTTCCAGGGCGTAGAGAAGCCACAGGGGCAGACAGGACGAAGGCTTCAAAGAAAGAAGTCGAAGGCCATCAGCATCATCGACGATCATCAGCAGATGTGGGAGGCCTACCGAGCCCAGGATTGGGAAGAGGTTTTGGAGCACATCGAAACGCAAACAACTGCCGAAGCGCGCCAGCGCCTCGGAGATGCAAACTTCCAAAACTGTTTTGCTATGTCATTTACTGCCATTGGCCAGGGGAAGACTAGCCCACAAGATGTCGAAGATGCCGTGGCGTTGCTCCGCCAGGGGATGGAATTGACAGACTGGCCACTTAGCACCTTCCATCCCCTTCTGTCTGGCCATCCGAAAATGTACCAAATCCTGCAGCCCTTTGCACCAGCTGATGATACGGAGGGTGTCTACCATGACTTCATTGTTGAGCACCATGTGCTGTGGAACGCAAGCGTCCAGGAGGACTGGGAGACAGTCTGCAAGCTTGCAGAGTCCCAGCTCAGGCCCATGTCCTTTAAGAGGCTGGGAGAACACAACTATCGGAACGTGGTGACTGTGGTGGTTCGCGGGCTCACGTTGACCGGAAAGCCGTTAGACGGCCCAGTGCTGGAAGCCTTGCGAAAAGGCATGCAGATCTTGGAGTACCCAGATGAGCGTGCGGCCGAGCTCGTCCACGGCATCCCTGCCGAGAGAAGGGAGGAGCTACTGGGGCTTGTAAACACGGACTCTTGAGTTTCCCGAAGGGAAATTCCGGCAAGCAGATCTGGCGAAATGTGCTGCCGCCGAACTGTTACATGAAGTTACCGGTTTTGCCTACTATGTTCAGCAAACAGAGGGTGTGCTAAAGCATGTTAAAAGCACCAGCACCTGGATGTCAAATCTGGTTGAGACTCTGTCCATCCGTGTTTCAGTCGAAGGCGCGTACAGTAAACGGAGCACACGCATTCCCCCAATCTCAGCCTCTCAGCTTTTGCGTCACGGACATCATACGTGTGCACTGAAGGCTTTCTGCTCCCAAACGCAGCAGTCATGGGGGCCAATCCACATCCAATGTCTTTGCAAGGATACCAGTGAGGGACGGGCCGGGACGGGCTTAGACTCTTTTAACAGGGCAATGTTGCAGCCTCATGAGGAAGCGTTGAATACAAGTGCCTTGGGGCTTGCTTGTTCTTTGCTGGCAGTGATCGGAGGTACGACAGTCCTGACGGCATGTGGCTCAGTTTGAAGGCAAGAAGAAGAAGTGGGCAAGAGCAAAGAGCCATCAAGAGCAATCAGCAATTGTCGACAATACGGCCAACACTTGCAGATCCCGTACAGGTTTTAGTGTAGGCGACTTGGCCCAGACCGCCGCAGCCGTAGCCGCAAGATGGCAGCACCTCAGCTTTTAAGCAGAAGAGCCCAATTTGGAGAGGAAGAAGACTTGAGAAGACCGAATCATGCCGGCTGAACGCTCATGTCCGATGTCTTCTGCGCCAGCTCTAGTGAACACATGTGAACACTTCTGCACTTCAAAACGGCGAGTATTTGATAATTGTAAACGCTTGCGCGCGCTGCCTCGGCACCCGGGCTGGCCCAACGCGGGGTGTAGCATGCGCAACGGTCCTACAGGCGGGTCCAGAGTCCCAGCAAAGGGTCCCAGCAGGGGGAGCCATATCGAAGATGATCCCGTGCGCTGATTCTGCTATTTAGGTGGACACGAGCAGTGAAGACGCGGCCCACCTTCACAACGCCTAGAACCTATGAAGCGAGCTGAAGAACCCGAAAAGAAGATGTTGGGTTGCAAACCCACGACCTTTCTAGTCACGTTGGCTAGCAAACCCTAAGAAGATATCTTGGGCGGCATGCCCTGGACCTTGAAAACCTGCCTTTTTGGCGTGGCCGGGAGGAGCCCCCAGAAAGTTTCTGGTTGAGGAAAGGGGGAAGGAGACCAGATCCTGGTCTAGACGCCTTTCGGCTGGAAGCCAGGGCGAATTAGGAGAAGGCGTAAAGAGATGTAAAGAGGCGATCTTGAAAAGTAGAAGGGGCAAGAGCCTTGGCCAGGGACCACCGGAAGAGGCCGAGTCCCCTCCGGCGGCTCTGGCGCCTCCGGCAGCCCTGCTGTCGGCGGACTGGGACCCGCACCAAGCTCAGCACGAGCATGTGCCAAAGCTCCCTTCTCAAGTGGCCTTCCCCCCAAGAATCTTCAGGTCCATGATCATGGATGAGATTGCAGAGCTTCGGGGCGAGTATCGCGTGCAGGCGCAGCAACATCGACTTGGGTGTATAGGTGAACACGCTTGAACTTGCCAGGCTTCCGTATGCGAGAAGGTTGAAGTAGTAGACTTCTGGCATCAGAATTCTGCAAGGCACTATAGGCTTCGGTAGTTTCGAGGATTTCCGGGAGTGACAACCTTGTTCCAACGAAGCCTTCAAGAAACCTCTTCACGAAAGTCTGCGGAGCACTGATGAGCAGCGCAGCTCGCAGCACCTGCAAGGTCGAGTCGAGCCAGCCATCACCTCGAATACAGCTGCTGGCCCACAGTGTCACAGTGTGTCAGGAGAGCTGCGCTTTGAAGGGCTCCCCAAACAGGGGGCATCCTCGGGACATTTTTCACATCTTCACAACATGTGCTCTTCTCACGAGACATCTGTAGAGCAGTTCCGAGAAGCAGTTGTCCCCGTGGCGTGTGTCAATTTTTGAGTAGGGTATGCCAAAATGCGAAAAGCTACCAGCACTCGGCAAAGGTTTTCCTTCGCTTCAGCCCTGGTTGCGTCGTCCAGGCCGCGGGCCTGGGAATGCCTAAGCGAAGCTCTGGAACAAGCGACCCCGAGAGAGACAAGGAAGGACCCAGTAGAATTGCCGACTTCTTCTGTGTGCTCAGCTCAGAGGGCCAACAGCTTTTCCCAGCAGCCGTTCGATTCAGAGGAATCCACGCTCACTGTTAAGCTTGACAATCTTGACAGTATCTCACAGTATCTCATGACATGTCCAGCAGCTGCGGCCGGCATGGTTCACAATCATGCAGACGGAAGCAACAGGTATTCTGACATCGACGAAGGTATCTTCCTGCTGAAGGAGTTGTTGGATGTTCCTTTGCCAAAACGCTTGGAAAATTGGGAAAATTGGAATAGGGCTTATAATACAATATGGAGGCCGTAGGGGTGGCCTAACCGCGGGTGCCCAGGTTGGCTTCCGCCGCAATGACTGCCTGCACTTGCTTGCGCTGGCGTACATCAAGATGGGCAACTACGTCAGGGCCAAGGAGTGCAAGCAATAGCGGACTTAAACAGTCAACGACGGATGAGGCATAACAGGCAGATGCACGACACTCCTTCTGCACTACCTTGTCAGGCTGAAGTTTACTTACAGCTGTTGGAGTGTAGTATCTTCCAGCAATTCCCAGAGGAAAGTCCCTTCAGGAGCCCCAAGGAAACCGCAAGAGTACTGCAACAGAGGAGATGCTGGATATTTGGATCCACCTCGACCCCCAGAGTGGCCGGAGACTTTGGGATGAGTCAGACAGCCACAATAATGCATCTTCTTATGACTATAGAATTCTGATCATGTTATAATTGTAAACGTTTGCGCGCGCTGCCTCAGCAGCCAGCCTGGCCCACGCGCACCGCAGACGAGGGAAAGCCAGGTCATCTGTCACTTGGTGGAGCACCACGCATGTCATGAGTTCAGGAGGTACTGGTAGGATGGCTTTGAGGGGGTTTGCAGGGGGTCTCGGGCATCAACGATGGCAGGACAGCGGGTCCGGGGGTCCCAGCAGAAGGCCGGCGTAATTCTTACTTGCTTTACGCCAGTGGTGTAGCAAGCAGAGGGAGCGCAACCGGGGGGGCGGAGGGGGGGCGGGGGCAGGGGGCGAATAGAAAGGACTGCGCAAATCTCTTGTTTGCCGTTCATGGCAGAAATCTAACTTTTTTCGCACTCGTGGCGTGGTGGTGAAGGAGGTCGGTGACATCAGCGGGCGGCATAGGCATGAAAAAATATCAAAATAATAAATAGGGATAAAAAAAGAAGAATAAGGATCAAAAAACAATCGGAAAACACAATTTTCTCCGCATTTTACTAAGAAAACCTCTATGTTCCCTATATTTCCATAGGAGCATCTTTCAACTTCACGTTTTTGCAATATGAAACCTCTATGTTTCCCTATGTTTGACATCTTCTCATTTGCTCTGTATTGGAAAGGAAGGAAGGGAAGGAGGGGAAGGAGGAGAAGGAAGGGAAGGAAGGGAAGGAAGGGAAGGAAGGGAAGGAAGGGAGGCAGGGAAGGCAGGGAAGGCAGGGAAGGCAGGGAAGGCAGGGAAGGCAGGGAGGGCAGGGAGGGCAGGGAGGGCAGGGAAGGGAAGGCAGGGAAGGTTCGTATTACTTTGATAGGAGTTCTATTTTTAATGTGCAGCCCCCCGCATCCCCCTCCCCAGCTCAGCTTCCCCCCCCAACCACCCTCCCCTGTTATTTAAGCCACGCAAGCTTGCTTCAAAGCGCATGAGTTTTTGAAACCCGTCATGCGAGCACTGTGTTTGCAAATGGGGGGGGGGGCCCCCCCCCCCCCCCCCCCTGGCTGTTTAAAGCCCACGCAAGTTTGTTTCAAAGCATATGACCCCTAGCATATGAGGCTTCTTGAAGCTCATCATGCGGTCACTCTCTTTGCAAACGGGGGTGGGGGGGGGGGCCCCCCCTCCTCCGTTTTTGAAGCCACGCAAGCTTGCTTCAAGGCATATGAGTTTTTGACAGCCGTCATGCGAGCACTGTGTTTGCCAGTGGCTGCTGCAAATTATGTGAGTTTTGGAAACCCATCATGCAAGCACTGTGATTGCAACCCCCCCGCTCTTTTAAGCCGTGTTTCAAAGCAGATGAATGAATCGTTTTGAAACCCCCGGCTTTTGAAGCCGTGCAAGCTTATCTCAAAGCATATGAATCGGCTTTGAAAGCCAACATGCGATTGCAAATGGGGGGGCTGCGCCCCCCCCCCCCCCCCCCAACCCCCCCCCTTTTAAAGCCGCAAGCTTGCTTCAAGTCATATGAGTTTTTGAACCCATCATGCGAGTGCTGTGTTTGCAAATGAGGGGGGCTGCACCCCCAGCCCCTCTCTTTTTAAAGCCCGCGCCAGCTTGTTTCAAAGCACACAAGTTCAGCATATGAAACAGTTGTAGGGCATCGGTTTCAATTTTTGTGCCTACTTTCACAACCCCCCATGGCATCGCGGCTCCTCCAAGCGTGTTGGGCAGTTCGGGAAGGTGTTGAGGGGAACGGGCCAAATCCTGGTTTGCTTGATTTAAATGCCTGCTGGAAGCCGAGTTTTATATATTTGTTTATGTTTTGATGTTTCATTGCGTAGCCAAACAGCTCTGTAATTGTACAATTATACAGGTGGACATATACATATGTACACATGTCGAGATAAACTTCTGTGTTGTGTCACAGCTCATGCTCCAATTGCTTGTGTTGGAACCGAGGTATGGCCAAGCTCATGCACTCCCTAGTGTCGGCCTCATCATGACTGCTGGTCGGTCATCAGAATCGGTGTAGGTGCTGCAAACTGCAGCGTTTGTATTATGTGGATATCTTGCAGCAGCCCGAACTTTTTGACTTTTGTAACAACACTCTGGCTTTGGTCGGTCCAGCTGTTTGCTTGTTTTTGTGCTTGTGTTGGCTCTCGGCCATCACTCCTGCATATCTGCTCCTTCTAGGTCACACGTTTTGTATCTGTACCTTCATTGCCTCCAACTGCGGTTGCCACGCGCTTTCTTGCTGTTGTCTTATTCTGTGCTAGCTTTCCGTTTTGGTTTGCTCGCTTTCTCAAGATATGTCAATAAATGACAATGCTCCATCCAAACAGGTCACCTAGGTAGTTGTAAACGCTTGCGCGCGCCGCCTCGGCAGTCGGGCTGGCCCAAGCGGCGTGCAGTCGAGAGGACGCTTCTCGGCAGGCAGGGAATTGGGGCTTTCAGATAAGGTTCCAGGAGCCTTGCAAAGGCCCAGGCAGGAGGGTCCCAACAGGGGATGGAGGGACCCTCGAGAATCTCACAACTGCCAGAAAAGGAAGGAAGGCATGTCGCATCATGTCGCAACGCACAGAATCCTAGCGGCCAGTGGAACGGGCAGCCTGCCTGCCCTGCCAGCGCCGCAGGAATCCCATTTCCCCAACGTCGGAACTCATTCGCGAGCTCATACCTAGTCCTCAAAGCGCGTTGATTACCCCTACCACGTGCCATCTTGCTCTTGATCACTGACACAGGGGCTCAGGGGTGCTGATGTCGGTTTTGGGAGTGTCGAGTGCGCATACACGTCCCAGATGAGTTTGGGTTTTCCTGTCCCTTTGACGTCCCCAGTGCCCAGCCTGGCCATGGTATGCTATGGTGCTTGAAAGCACATTGTCACATGCCTAGGTGCTTGAGAGGGCCTCGCATGATGGATGGCTTGGGATGGTTGGCCTGGGCATTGCGGCCGCAGGCACTGCAGAAGGGACTCTCGAGCTCAGTCGCACAAATGTGTGATGCAGGTTGCCTCCTGGTGTGGCTGCGGCGCCACAGGTGATGCATCGTTGTAGAGAACGCTGCCGTTCAAGCCCCTGGTGCTGCTGACGCCCGAAATTTGAAGCCTTCTTCGATTTTACACTCAGCTTTGTCAGTGCCAAGTGTCGCCAGCAGCCACAGGCAGCCCCAGCACAGTCCAAACGGAAGATAGTGGAGCGCTGCGCAAGTACAGCAAACAGTCTTTCTGGTTGCTGGAGTCGGCCCTTCGGCCCCACCCCACGTCCTCCAAATTGAAAATTGCCTGGCAAAGCGAACAGCACGATCTGATCTTCAATGAGCACTTCCCCCAAGATTTATTCCAGGACACCTTGCTCTTTTTGGCGTGGATGTCCACGGTTGTGCGGGGTCGCGCAAACTTGGCATGCTTACTGCAGCGCAGCACCGCGCAGTGAACATCGCACCTCTAGGTTCGGGAGACGCCTGTGGGAATTCCATGGGCAGACAAGATGCCTCTACCGCGCTGGATACGCTCGGCTTGTGACAGTGATGACCCCGCACCCGCTGCGACTCCTCAAAGCCTCAAAGCACATCTCCGGCTTGGCTCAAAGCATAGCGAACGCTGTATGAGATTGATTGAGACTGTTTTTTTCAGATTTCAGGCTAGTGGTAGCAGTCGGTTTGCGCGAGTCTAGAGATTGCAGCCCTTCTAGCCGAGACTGAAAACTGAGAAGGCTGCGAGAACACTCCGTTTGTCTCCAACATTCTTCATTACGCTGCACTGCATTTTGGCGCATGCGAGAGCCCTCGGAGCGCGCGGCTACTGCGCGGCGGCAGCCGCTTCCGTAACTGTAGGCCCTGCTGGCAGTTTGTAACACACCAAGTCGATGTTGACATGTGGCAGGCCATGGAGGTTATCTTGTCCATTGGGCTGGTGCTGGTGGTGGCCGGACTCGCCGCTACTTTCTTCCTCAAGCCGTGCCCAAATCAAATGTAAATGCTGGCGGCCGTTTGCTGCCCCCAATTGGGAACTGCAAATATCTATCTCCTGCAGGACAAGTGTTGATAAGATTATATACTTGTTTGTCAGATCAGGGCAAGACGCTCGCTGACCTTGCCAGTGTAGTGCGCATACAGCGAAGAGCATCTATATAACTGCATTCTTGCAACATTCGCGTTCAATGAACATCCAAGGTTTGCTACTAACACACCTCTAGCTGCTACTGCTACGTCCACGGCACCAAAATCTTTCGAGATCAGTATGTGTAGTCGAGCTCCGCTACCATGACAATTTTCACGCACGGAACTCCATTCTGTGAACACAAGCAGCTTCAAGATCATCAGCCCGCACAGCGGCACGCTCCAAGCCACCAATCCAAGAGATAGCTCATGATGCCTTTCCTACGGCTGCTTCAATTCCTCCTCCTACTACGGCAAGTACTACTATATACCACTACTCCTCCTACTACTACCACTACTTCCACTGCCACCACTACTTGCACCTCTGCCACTCCTGCCATTACGTCAAAGGAAGGACTTGTGCCGGAATCAGCACGTACCAGGCCAAGGCCGAACATGCCGATCGAGGCAGATGCATCGGGCAACGCAAAGTTGCAGCCCCTGTTGTCCCCGTGCATCCCTGTACTTGTCATCTCGGATTCTCATGCTTTCTGTGCTCTTCTTTGGCATTTGGTCATCTTGGAGTCATCTTGGTGAAGCAGGTACCTGGACTGGTGGGCCAACTGCAACAAGCCCTTGGAGTCACAAGTGGCAAGGAGTGCGTTAGTACGGAGAGCCCCCGGAAGGAGAAGAAGAGCATCTGAAACAGAGAAAGGGCGAGAGCAGTTGAGTTGCAGTGCTGCAGAACAATCGCAAAACACGAGTGGACATTGCAGTTGAGCTAAGTTCATTGAGCGTAAGTTCTAAGTTTTGTGCACCCGCTTGCGAGGACCTCTTTCCCGGAGCTCCCCTCCGCCGCCACCTGGAAGGCAGGCACAGAGAGAACGGAAATATTGTATGAGCGCATGTGAAAAGGGTTTAGGCAGAAGATTGAGAATTGAAAGAAGACCGGCGCTTCTGGAGTGTCGAGAGGGCCTCCCGCGTTAGTTCATCCTCTATTGCTTTTAGAATGTTCGACGCTCTTTTCGCTTTCGAGGCCCCGGAAGTTGTCTTGTCCGTGGTGGTGCCGGCCTATAACGAGGACAGAGAGCTGTTGCAAAGCACGGTATCCAGGTTCACTGCAGAGTAAGTTGTATCACTCTTTCGAAATACTTTTAGGGCACCCAACTAGGGTTCGAAAGCAAGAGTGAAGGGGGCACCAGGTGCCCCCCACCCCCCCCTCCGTGGAGCTGCAACCATCCGGTGTTCGGCCCAAAGCTTTAGAATCCGCTTCTGCGCGGAGGGCCAAACGAGCAGCCTGAAACGCGTCTCCCAAACAAAGTCGCTGGCTCCAGTTTCTATGCACATATGTAGCCCTCGGATAGGGCAGGCAACGCGGGCACCCATGAATGAACAACAGCACCGAAGACAAAAACTGTAGCCAAAGCACACATGAAGACATCACGGATTCGAGCCTGCCCTCAACCTGCATCCATGAACTCCGTGTGTCATGCCCAAAGTCCCAAAGCCTGTGTTCTCTGCAAGTCCAGATTCGTCATGGCCGGGGTCTCCACCTCCTCGGTGATCTTGCCGGCGTGTTGTCAAGCGTAGGTGATGATCTTCGTCACCTTCCAAAGGGAAAGTTCTAATCGCATAGGTCATACTGCGGTCATGCTGAGACCGCCACATTTCTTGGCAAGGCCTTCTCGTCGTGTCACAGGCCTGCGGATGGGATGCATCCGCTATCTCGTAGGTCACCCGATGTTCGCGCTGGAGTCGTGGATCCCACTGAGCCCCGATCGCTGCACAACTTTGCACAACTTAGCCTGACCAAGACCAGCTTCACTGTCATTGAAGGCATCATTTCCACCACCGATCGTTTTGTCCGAGGGTCCGAGGGTGGTTGTCCATCGGCTTGATGCCTCTCTCGAGGCCGACCCCACCACTCGCGCTCCCGGTCACGGTCATGCCAGGCCTTTGGTAAGGCCTCCCCAAGGCCTCCCCAAGGCCTTCCAAGTCCCGTGCCAGCTCACAACAAAGCGAGGGTCTTCGTGCAGCTGCCCCAAATGTCGCAGGCCCAGGCTTGCATCAAATCGGGACAGACGTTGCGTGCAAAGTCCATGCCAGTGCGCTCTGAGGCTCCACGCACAGAAGCAAAAATTGTCCAAGCGCTTCTATCCAGTTCTGAGCCATGAGGATTTTCATAAAAGGGGCTGCTATATAGAAAGGATGGACAAGGCATTTTCATTGGGGCTTTTGTAAGCTTCAGATGGGGGTAGGAGTCGCTGAGGAGTATCGGGTACCCCAGATGCTCGATGAAACCTTGGCATATCTGGAGACTCGGGGGGCCTCATCTTCCGAGACCTTCTCCTACGAGGCACTGCGCCTAGTGGTCCTTCGGCGGGCGGCAGGGCATCGCACCGGGCATCATTCAGTCAGTGTCATGTGATCAGTGGCCAGGTCATCGTCGTGGATGATGGCAGCAGCGACAATACCTATGCCGCAGCGCTCTCAGCTAGCAAGCCCTGCGCTCAGAGATTCCGAAGCTGTCGGAGCCATTCCGGGTCTGTCCTTTGCCTGCGTCTTTTTGACTTCGTGAAGGGATGCCTCGCTTCGCCATGGCGAAGTCCGAGTCATTCAGCTCGTGGCCAACCGCCGACCTGGCATGTAACGAAATGCAAAGACTTGTGTCTGCCGAGTTTTCACGCTGGGCGAGCTGGCTCGCATCACTCTCGCATCTGAGCGCGTTCGCCGCCATGTGGGGCTCGTTCGTGGTTTTCTCAAGCTTGTTTCGCAAGCTGCCTTGTATATGGGTGTAGCGTGTGCATTGCAGACGAAAGAAAGTCACATGGTGCAGCAGACGCGCGTCATGAGTTCAGGAGGTAAGAGGGCTTAGAGGGGGGTTCGAAAGGGCGTCCCAGGCCTAAGGGTCCCACACAAAAAGCCTCCCAGCAAACGTCCCGGTCGGCCGCCGCATCAGAAAACAATTGGGGTGTCTTTTTCGGCTTTTTTGGCGGCACCGGATTGCGGTTCCTCAAAAGGGGTTCAGGCAGGTCCCACAGGGGAGGGCAGAAAGTTTCCGTAAGGGGGAGGGAAGGAGACCAGATGCTGGTCTGCTTGGTTTTAGAGGCTAGGCCAGAAGCCGGTGGGGAATAATTAGGGAGGCTCGGATTGTGCCCAAATATGTCCGATCAAAGGTTTGCCGCTCTCCTAGGTCGACAGGAACAAGTGCTTCCTAAACCTGAGCGGTCCTCAATATTTGCTATCGGCTTCTTCAGTTTTAATGTGATGGAGGCAAAAGGTGCCCCCAACACATCTGGTCAAGTTTTGTTGCTGTCGGCTCGTTCTTCACGGTATGACAAAGCTGAGGTGGGCCAACAGGCCGAGGTTTTTTTTCAGAACGTGTCTGGTCAGACAAGCTGGCATCGGCCCTTTCGGCGCTTCTTTTGAGGGTCAACCCTCCAGAAATGAAAATTTGTAAGAGAGCCTAGCTGAGAAATTCGGTGTTGAGCCTGCGTTTTTGCTCTGAGGGATCTGAACAGATGTCCGGGTGTCGCCCTCGGTTCTGAACGCCAGCGCAAATGCCGTACAGAGGGCGCGGCCGGTATCGGGGGGAGGGCCTGTTTCTCGTTCGCGCTCGCCTGCTTCCGGATCCTCTGTTTTCTCCGCGGTAAAGAACGCTTTGCACAACTGCAGTTAATTAGCCGTCCGTTGTCTCTGGCTCTGGCTCTTTGAAGGCGGCAAGGGCTTTGCCGTGCGTGCCGGCATGCTGGTGGCACGAGGCTGGGAGAAGGGTCTTCACACTCAGGCCGTGGTAGTTTTTTGGGGATCCTCAGGGGGTTGTGAGGATCTGTGAGCTTCCTGGGGTTGCCTGGCTGCTTTCGTAAGGGTTGGAGCAGCATGGAGCGAAGTTGACAGGGCGCGACCTGTGCAGGGCAGATGCTGCTCATGGTCGATGCCGATGGCGCCACGTCTATCCGTGACCTGGAGCGCCTGGAACGGGCCCTCGGCCCTCGGGACGCTGGGGTCGAAACAGACATTCGGACTCGAGAGCACTATCAAGTACACGAGAGATACAACATCGCGGCCAAGTTTTTTTTCACACTGTTCTCAGGACACCGCTCCCCACATAGCCATCGGATCCAGGCACCACCTTCGCCAGGAGGCCCTCACCAAAAGGCACCGCCCACACGAATCTGCTGAAATCCATGCGGTGCCGAATTCTGCATGATACCCCCATAGGCCCAGGAACCTCTCTGCACTGGTGGCTTTCACGGAATTTCCTTGTGCAGGGCTTGGTATCGTAACATTCTGATGGTGGGCTTCCACTTTGCAGTGTGGCTGGTGGCATGGCGCTTAGCTTCACAAGAGGTAAAATACGGGCACATGCAATGCACATGCAGGTTCTGCTTGTCATTGATGCTTGCAGGTGGGTGGCGCCATCAACGACACCCAGTGCGGCTTCAAGCTCTTCAAAGCAAACGTTGGAACCCAGTTTGGAGAGTTCCTTTTCATCGGCGCAGATTCGCAGATCTGTTTTTGCTCCTGAGGCTGCGAAGCGGATCTTTGCATCGCTGCACATCTACCGGTGGGCCTTCGACATCGAGGTGCGACCTTAACCGCATCCAGACCACCTGAGAGCTTCATTTCGATGCATTTCGCCTTTGATTCGCTTTTAGGGCAGTTAAAGCTGGTGAGGTGCTGATTTTGTCGCAGCTCTTCGGCCACGGCGTTGCCGAGGCGCTTGGGACCTGCGTTGCTCGTAACTCAAGCTGCTCAAGCTTCCTCCTTTTTGAGATTTCTCTCGCATGGTCGCGCGCTTTGTCCTGAGATGCCAGTCCCATTTTGATTGGAAAGATTGGCACATGCGAGCGAACGACATCTTGCAAAGAGGGTCCTAGTAGATCTGGGATGAGGGCATAAGAGGAAGGATCAGGGAGGAGTATCAGGAGGTATTGGGCTGCGGGTTTCGCACACCTCAGGTACCCGTGACGTGGGTGGAAATGCCGGGCTCGAAGTCCACTGGCTCAGCCCAAGCTGTTGCACAACTCTGCCGGCGTGCCTTCACCATGTAGAGTCCCCTTTCCTTAGTACGGCATCGTTTTCTTTTCCCCCAGGCTGAACTTGCTGACCGGCGCCCTCACGATGTTGAGGGACATGGTCTTGGTGCGGGCAGGGGCCCTGTTGCGCTTTCGTTCTCTTTGGGGAAGAGCTCGCTGTCTCTTGAATTCCTGAAGTGCTGCTGTTTTTGGGGGGGTCTCCCGAGGTGCTCTACGCTTGCGGCGTTTGGCAGCCCTCGGTGGCTTGAGAGCTGAGAGCATCTGAGAATATCTGAGAGCGGAGGGCTCCCGGCGTCTTGCGCTCTCGGCCGCTTGGGGGCCTACGCGTTGAGCCACGCAAACGGGCAATTGAGACCCTTACATTACATCACAACATTCCCCTCGCCGAAACGGCCGACGTGCTCTCTGGCCTCTGTGGCTCTGGTGCTCAAAGCACCTGTAAACCACCGGCTTTCGGCACGTTGAACGGTTGAACCGCAGAACAAAGGGAGCTCAATATGGTCGACAGTGGCCCTCGCAAAAGGCGACAATGCACCCGCTTCTGATTTATACTCAATATATTGACCATTCGATCAATCCTTGCCAACATCAAACATCTTCAGAATCACAAAGCCCGAGTCACATTATATATATATATATATATATATATATATATATATATATATATATATATATATATAAAGGGGCTGTCGCCCACAGCCGGGCACGCCCCAAGCGGAGCAGCCACAACAACAACCACAACAACACCAACCACAACCGCAACCACAAGACCCGGCGCGCGCGCGCCCACAGGCGTATGCGGGCATGGCTCGTCGAGTGCCATGTTATGGCATGCTATGGCGGCGTCCTTCGAAGTCCTGCCTCCCTAAACCCTCCCTCCCCTTCCTCCCAGGGAGCCGCTGGTGCTGCTGATGCTCGCCTCCCGCATGCCCAAGGAGAAACGAAGCTTCGATGATGCGCACCCCTGCCCCCGGCCCGGCCGCGCATCATGAGCATCAGCGGCTCCGGCCTCCAGGCATGCGTGGCTTATGGGGGCCTCAAAACGGAAAGGTCCGTAACAGCACGAAAACCACGGAATTTACAGTGTTTTCTGCGTTTTTCAAGCTTTCAGCCACATCCGAAACCCAGACCCAACCCGCTGATGCTCTTGATGCGCGCTCCTGTGGGGGTCCTTTGGGGTGGCCGATCCCCAAAAAACATCAACAACACGTCTTCCAAAAAAATGCGTCCGGGAGCCCAATTTCAGTGGTGAATAGCGCGTTTTTTGCGATGAAAAAGGTACCCAAAACATGATGCCCTTCAGAAGCCGAATTTGGAGCCGGATGTTGGCGAGCCAACCGGGTCGGCGGTTTATGACGCGCCCCGGGGTAGCGACCATGGGCGTGCCCGGATTTAACGGCTACCGCCGATGCCGCCGACCCCAGACAGGCCCGGCGATGACTTCTGAGGCGTCATTTCCAGGGAAGGGAAGGGTTGAGGTAAAGGGTAAGAGGTGAAGGCGAGGGTAAGGGGTGCGGGAGGGCGGGGGCAGCGGGGGGGGTGGGCAGCAAGGGCAGCAGGGGGCGGGGGTCGGGCATGCGCTGGCCTGAGCAGGGGGGGCGGGGGCAGCGGAGGAAGGGGGTTGGCCATGCACTAAGGGTAAGAGGTGAAGGCGAGGGTAAAGGGCGGGGGCAGCGGGGGGGGCGGGGGCAGCAAGGGCAGCGCGGGGGGGAAGGTGGGCATGCACTAAAGCCTTTAAAACACCTCGTTAGGGGCTGAAAAAGCCCCTAAAACACTTCGTTTCCGGGTGAGGTAAAGGGTAAGAGGTGAGGGTGAGGGGTGCGGGAGGTCAGGGGCAGCGGGGAGGGCGGGGGGGGGGGGTCCGGCATGCACTGGAGCCCTAAAACGAGGGCGGGGGCAGCACTTGGGGCGGGGGGGGCGGGAACAGCAACGGCAGCGGGGGGGGGGGAGTCGGGCATGCACTGAAACCCGTAAAATGCTTCAAAACTCACTTCATTTGTTAGGGAAGGGGTGAGGTAACGGGTGAGAGGTGAGGGCGAGGGTAAGGGGTGCGGGAGGGCGGGGGGGCGGGCAGGGGCAGCAAGGGCAGCGGGGGGAGGGGGTCGGAGATGCACTGCAGCCCTTAAAAAGCCCCTAAAACACTTCGTTTCCAGGTAAGGGTTTCAGGGTAAGGAGAAAGTAAAGGGCAAGAGGTGAAAGCGGGGGCTAAGGGGCAGCGGGGGAAGGGGGTCGGGCATACACTGGAGCTAAGGGGTTCCGGGCAAGGGGTGACTCACCCATTAACCTGCCGATGAAAGTGGTCCATTGTTCAAAGCATTCGTTTACATCATGCGACTCTGCTGCTTGGTCCTGGGAGTTCTGGGGTACTTTGAACACCTGAACACCATGGCCCAGCCCTGATTGGTCCAGGGAAGGTTCGATGGCCCAGGAGTTCATGAGCTTACCTTGAACCCCTGGGAGTTCGGGGTTTGGGAGATCGGGCTTCAGGATTCCACAACCTCTACGCCTTGCCCTCAACGTGAATCCCTCCAAGTCTACAAACCTGCAGACGACAGTGCTCCAACTGAAACTCTATCTGGGATATGTGTTCAAAACGATCGTCTACATCATACACTTTTCGAAAATCTTCCACATAATTTGCGAGTATTCCTTTTTCTGTCTCATTCTTCTTTTTTTCGGAAAATATTCTAGGGCTTTCGCTTATCTTCCAAACTCTGCTGGGCCTTTTGGGACCTCCTGAGAAGTACCCCCAACCTCATGAATGAGTGAGGTTAAAGGGTAAGAGGTGAGGGCGAGGGTAAGGGGTGCGGGAGGGCGGGGGAGTTGAAAAAGCCCCTAGCAGGAGGGGGGGGCAGCAAGGGCACGTTTCCGGGTGAGGTAAAGGGTAAGAGGTGAGGGCGAGGGTAAGTGGTGCGGGAGGGCGGGGGTAGCGCGGGGGCGGGGGGTAGGGGTTGAAAAAGCTCCTACTTCGGCGATCCGTGCGGTTATAATCTAGGTACTGTGAATACTATGTAGATAAGCTGCTTATCGGGGATAGCTAACTGCAGTTATAAGTATGCTCTAGTTGCACGTACAGTGAGTGAACTGGCTGACTTAGCTAAGTGCAACTACTGGGGTTAGCATATACCATAAGAAGTGCAAAAATCAAATCGACTTCTTCAAAAACATGATGAAACTCATGACAACAAAGAAAGTGCACAACGATCGCGGCAGGGCTATACAAGCTCGCTAGCAGAGAGCATTCGTTTTCATGCTGGCGTCACTAGGAGCTGCTCATGGTGGCATCGCTTGCAGAAACACGAGCGCAGTATGTCACGAGTGGTGTCGATAATTTCTTAATGTCACGATTGGGGGTAATGAATCGAATATGGAATGATATATTGCTGGAAATGGATGAATCGATAAATTCAAAAATAGCTCTATAAAAGGTTATGGGTTCGAGCTTTATTTTCGCTCTGCGGCTTCTCTGCCGACTGCTTTATTGGGGAGCCTTAGAGGGGGATCCGGAAGTTTTTTAGAATTTTCAGGATTCTTTTGAAAAATCTTAGGAATTTTGGGAATCTCTTGTCCGGAAATTTTCGGGATCTTTTGGATTTAAAAAATTCTATAGAATTTGTAGCCGGGGTTTTGTCATATTTTGGGGGGTTTTGTTTCTGGTTTTCGTTGTAATGGTTTGGGTTTTGTTGGGTGGGGGGTGAATATTTTGAGGTGTTGGGGGATGGGGCTCTGTGGCGTTATGATTGAGGGATTGAATGATTGGGATTTTGGGAGGTTTTATTTCTTATTTTTACTATTTATAATATTTGGGTTACTTTGATAAATATTCATTAAGAAATGAAATGAAATTTTTATATATTTCGTAATTTTGAAGATATTTTGTCGTACATAAAAATTTATCATCACCTTTAATTATTAAGGACATCTTAGAAAGATGAAAAGAGAAAAGAAAATCCCCAATTTATTCATTAGGTTATGGTCTCGCGTTCGCTCATTATAAGCAGTAAGTAGAGTGGAAGGCGACAAGCCATCGCATGGCTAAGGTCACTTCATTCCAGATATATCTTCGGTGTAAGAGATTTGTGCTCCTAAAAGTACTAATTCATTACGAAGACAAAGATTAGAATTGCGAGAATTTAGTATTCCCAGAAACACGAATTAAATGTCGTCCAGAGTAAATACAAACAACAAGAACATTTCGTCATCCCGAGATTCCTACTGGAGGGCCTATTTTTTTGGGTCTTTTTTTTTTTTGGCATTTTTTTTTTTGGTCGATTTGTCCTAAGAAAACCACCATTCCCTCCATATTTTTGAAGGATTTGATGCATTTTCGTGGTTTTTCGTACGAAAAAGTGAGGCGTTGAATTTCTAGAATTGTTTCACAAAATTCTTATTTGTTTCACTTTTGGAGAACTCTTTCGTCTTTGTTTCGTTTTCTCTTGTTTTCTGGCGTCTTCCCTCAATTGGGGGTGGTGGTGGGTGCATTGCCCAATCGTGGCCGGTCTCACTTGGGATTTCGCCTGCTTTTTCGTTTGTTGTGTTTCTGGGAGTTCTCTTTGTTTCATTTGAGATGATTTTTCTGCCATATCATTTCTGCGATAATTGGTGCTTTTGGGTGCAGATGCCACTTGCACCGTAGTGACCAAGCCAAGTCTTTGGACTTGCCAGGGGACGAGAAAAAAAAAAAAAAACGAAAAATAGTAATTTCTCCGTGGTTTCATAGGAAAGCCTTATTTCTGGTACGTTTTAGAAGGAAAGAAGGAAAGAAAGGAAGGAAGGAAGGATGAAAGAAAGGAAGAAAACAAGGAAGGAAGGAAGGAAGGAAGAAAGGAGGGAAGGAAGAAAGGAAGGAAACAAGGAAGGAAGAAAGGAAGGAAGAAAGGAAGGAAGCAAGGAAGGAAGAAAGGAAGCGTGTTTCGAAGCCCAAGAAACTAGTTGAAAAACATCGTGTGAGCATTGTGTTTGCAAATGGGGGGGGCTGCGCCCCCCCCAATCCCCCCGCTTTTTTTTTGTTTAAGCCGTGCAGAGCGTGCTTCAAAGCCCAAGAAACTTGTTGACACCCATCATGTGAGCAGGGTGTTTGCAAATGGGGCTGGGGCTGCGCCCCCCCCAACCCCCCCCGCTTTTTTTAAGCCGTACCAAGCGTGCTTCAAAGCCCAAGAAACTGGTTGAAAAACATCGTGTGAGCATTGTGTTTGCAAATGGGGGGGGGCTGCGCCCCCCCCAACCCCCCCGCTTTTTTTAAGCCGTG